GGCTCTAACCACTAGAGACACACTGCCTCCCTGCCTCTCTCATCTCTAACCACTAGAGACTCACTGCCTCCCTGCCTCTCTCGGCTCTAACCACTAGAGACACACTGCCTCCCTGCCTCTCTCAGTTTAAGCCACCTGGATGATGCGATAGCAGCCATAGTGCTCCAGTACTCTCCCCACACACCAGCTCTCAGTGGGAGGAGAGCAGAGTGATGAAGCCAGTTCAGAGAGGGGGATTATTAGGAGGCCATGATTGGTATGCCAGGACACCAGGGTAACACCCCTACTCTTTCTGAGAACCACTGGGATTATTAATCACTACAGAGACTCAGGATCTGTTTTACATCTCAGCTGAAGGACGACACCTTTTTACAGTACAGTATGTTCCCATCACTGGGGCATTAGGACCCACACAGACCCCTACTGGCCCCACTAACACCTCTTCCAGCAGCAGCCTCAGCTTTCCCAGGAGGTCTCCTCTCCAGGTACTGTCCAGGCTCACACCTGCTGAGCTCTTCCACCTCCGCATACCTCTCCAGCAGAACTGCCCATTAACACCTCTACAGCAACTAGTGCTGAGTGTTAAGAATGAAACCCTGTGGCCTTGAGTACATCACTCCTCTATGCTGCAGCAGAGTAATTTTCCCAAACAAAAGGCTCACTCTGAATGCATTCATGACGCCTTTGTTTTCCTCGCCGCCGCTGACTTTTTAAAACACAAAAGGGAGGAGAGCATGGTGTTGGGGAAAAGCACCCCAGGGCTGAGCCTGCTCCTGTGTTCCGGGAAACGTGCACCAACACGCCCCCCCCCAATCTGCGAGGCGCGTGCCATTAATCTGTAAACAGGGCATGCTGCTGCTCCAGCACCGAATACCACTGTGCCCCTGGCTTTTCGATAATCAGAAGCAGCCAGCGCCAGCATTACTGGACTTATCCCTGCCCAGCACAGTGTCCTGACCAACTGCTACCCAGTGTCACACTGCTTTGCAATTTCTGTCCCAAAAGGGAAGAGCGCCACCTACTGGTCCACCAGCTGCTCCGATGAGCTCATGTTCACAGCGGAACAGCTCCTGGCCATTTCAGTACGTCCCTTACACGTGCAAGGGAAAGGTGTGTTGTACTGCCAATACCACGTCTACTAGCCTCTGGAGAGCTGCTGGACCACGGCCAGGCTGGGGATCAGCAGGTGGACACGCAGACTTGTGGGCGATTCGGTCTCCACACTGCGCTCGTATCTACCTCGAGACTGCCCGGAGGATTCTGGGATACACAGATGCAGTCATGCCGAAAGACAAAGAAGCCAGGCAGCCTTTATTGTCGAATTCAGGTGTTTATTTACAATAGAGACAAAAGACTTGTTTTTCCCCCACAAGGGCAGTGAAAGCAGAGTCTGAGCACTACCGGACTGGATTAAAAGCGTGTGAAGGTTGGATGACAAACAGGAACAGGCTCCCTGTAGCGCAAACCTTGTTCCGCCCCCCTGGAATGGGTCACTCCCCTCGGGCTGGGCCGGGTCAGCGTTCGGGTAGCGTCTCCTCGGCAGAGACTCGATTCGCGGGATGGCTGGTGGGGGGGGTTCAGCCCGTCTTGCGGATGGGCTGGTGAGGCTGGTTCGGCCCGATGTATCTCAGGGGGGTGCACCTGGGCTTCTCGATGACCTCTGACCCCAGATAGGGCTGCAAGACCTTCGGCACACGCACGGTCCCGTCCTGGAGAGAGGGAGACAGGGAGTCGGAGGACAGCAGAGGACAAATCACTGGGCTGTCATTCAGGCACCTCTTCCAACGACTGCAGGGAAACCGGTCTCGCAGCACAGCTGGGCGGGGTGATCTGGTCCTCCGACTCCCTGTACTCTCACCACCTCTCAATATCCACCGGCTGGCGTTTCGAAGTTGGTACTTCTCTGGGTGGGCTGGATCAATCGGCTCTCTACTATCACACAGGCTAGAAAGGCCTAATGGCCTAGACTCGATTGTAACTGTTCAATACTGAAGAAATTCTGTTCATTTCTTCTGTACATGTTCAAAAGTAATGTACAGGGCGTTATGTCACACAAGGAGTTACTTAATGAGGTCTTTCTTGAGCTGCAATGCACATAGTATACAGAATGAGGTCTTACTAAATCACTGCAGTTGAATATTGCTTCCCTTGGTTTCACTCATGCGTTTTGTCATGTTTTTTTGTAATGCTTTGTTAAAGAGATGGAGAGAGTTAACTCCTTGGGGTCCAATATCCTCCTGCATCCCCCACTCTCTGTCTAATACCCTCTTCTGTCCCCTGTCTCTCTCCCCTCCCCCCCTTCCCTGCTCACCCTGGTCTGGTGGGTCTCCAGAATGGCGATGATGGTCCTGGGCACTGCGCAGGCTGTGGCGTTCACCTGCGGGGCAGATCGAGGGCCATTCTCAGGCAGAGACAGACGGACACATTGCTCCTTCAGACACTCAGACACTCAGACACACCTCACGCCCCGTTCTCTCTTTCGGGGCAGAGATCGGCCCTCCGCACACAATCGCACGTGTAGGCCGTGCTGAAGCACACGCGGATGCTCTCTTACAGTGTGTGCGTAGCGCAGGCTGCCCTCCTCGTTCTCGTACATGATGTGGAGTCTCCGGCTCTGGTAGTCCGTGCAGTTGGAGGCACTGGAGATCTAAAGGAGAGGGTAGTGGGGTGGAGGGGGGTCAGCAGGCAGGACAATCTGTAGCACAGGAGTTTGAAATCGACACGTTTCCAGGTTCTGATTGGCCAGAAATAATGTTGCACTGACCTCCCCGAAACTGCCTCTTCCAGGCATCCAGGCTTCGATATCGAACTTCCTGTACGCGGGAGGACCCAGCTCCTGGGTGGGCATGTCCAGCACCCTGCAGACAACCAGACTGGTCAATACCAGGGGCCTGACCACTCCACAGTCTTCCTATAGAACTTAATACAGACATGCACCACACAAACTCACTGACCTGTAGTGCAACTCCAGGTCAGAGAAAATCTCCTTCTGCAGGGAGAGGAACTCCAGCAGCAGCTCTGAGCTCTCCTGGCCCGTCTCATCTGCAGTCACGCCAAACATCTCCACCTGTGACACCACGGCACTGTGATCTTCCTATACACTAACACACTAGCCGTGCAATGCACTGGCACTCCAACACTGATGCTGTCTTGCACCACAGCAGTATTACACCAGCATTGTGACAAGTCAGCACTGTGGCAGTACCCAGGAAACTGCAGCCAGTGTGCGAGCGGGTGTGGAGGATCACCTTGGTGAAGTGATGCACTCTGTACAGCCCCCAGGCCTCCCTGCCCGTGTCTGTCTCAGCACGGTAACACGTGCTGCTGCAGACGGTCCTGCACAACACACACAGACAGAGTCACGCACAGATCCACGATATTTGCAACAGCACAAGTAACACGTTGCTTGGTTCAGTTTGGTTCACCACTGAGACAACCTGCAGTGGTGCTGGAGAAGTAGGGGCCATACCCCAACACCGGCAGCAAGATACATCACCAGTATGAAACACCAGGACTAAGATGCACCAATACCATGATGTACCAACCGTGCGACACACCAGGACTGAAATGTCCAGAAGTGCTATTTTTCAGACATTGAGCCACACTGCTCCCTGTGGAGCACCCAGGAAGACAGTGAATGAGTGAACGGAGGACAGATTCAGGTCTTGCCAGCTGCACTGTAACATGTGCCTCAAGAGAGCCGATCAGGTCAGTTCAGGAGTTAGGTGAGGCTCACCTCACCGGCAAGTCCCTCCAGTTCACTGCATGGTCCATGAAATACCCTGCCAAAGGAAAACCAGACTCAATATAGCACCATGGCATTAGTGTACACAGCACACAGCACCAGCAATCACACACAGAGCACAGAGTCACTTCACCTCATCGACGCACAGTGTACAGCACGACCTCAAACATGCAACACATTACGAACAAAACACATACAGTACAAGGAAATACTGAACACAGTTCTGTTTGCTGCACTCCAAAAAGGAAATAGCTGCCTAAGAAAGAGATGAAAGAAGATTCCAGATATAACCGGGATGAATGCAAGACACTGACCGCTTAAAGGAAACAACTTTTTTCAGACTCGGGCATAGATTACAGAGATCATTCAACATCTGATATTGAACTGAGGAAGAGAATTCAATGGATTCTACTGTGCCTGGCAATGAAAGGAGAACACAAGAGCACAAGAGGCGAAAAGGAAGAGCATTTAGAACTTAGAACAGGAGCCAGTTGTTTATACCAAGAGTGGTGGGTGCCTGGAACAAGCTGCCTTGCTGGCAAAGAAGATGACAACAAAATGGCTGGATGAGAACCTCAGATCAATAATCCACCAACTAACAATGGGTTGAGCAGACTCCTCTCTTTAACCCTCTCCTGTTCCTCTGTTCCAGTGACTGGGATGGCCTTACTCCTCCTAAGGAAGCCTGCAGCGCGTGCCTGCAGGGTGCGAGAGTGTGCAGTGGCAATGGGGGACACTCTTACCCGCCACCCCCACCTCCCCTGTGCCGGCCAGGTTGAGATCAGGGAAGCGCGAGGGGTCCAGGGAGTAGACTTGGGACTGATGGGCGTGGGGCTGCATCCCACAGCCTTCCTGAGGGAGAGGGGAGGGAACAGCAATGAGGAAGGAGCACAGTCACATCACACTACTTTGTGCACACCGCTTGAACACCAGCAACCGAGCACTCGGTAGTCTGGTGGAGGTGGGGTGGAGTGGTGCCTCTGTGGCTCAGGATCTGCGCCTGTGGCTGGAAGGTTGCCAGTTCAAATCCCATGGCCAGCAGAGGAATCCTACTCCATTGGGCCCCTGAGCGAGGCCCTTAACCCCCACTGCTCCAGGGGTGCTGTATAAATGGCTGACCCTGCGCTCTGACCCCCAGCTTCTCTCCCTGTCTGTGTGTCTCATGGAGAGAAAGCTGGGGTATAAGAAAAGACAAATTCCTAATGCAAGAAATCGCAAATGGCCAATAAAGTGATCTTATATCTTATCTCTTATAAGGTTATTGGCTGTTACTTTCAAGTCCTAAAGAACTGCTGATCATTTTACTTCAATTTGTAATGAGAGATCCTGACAGGTGATACACTGTTTTGAATGTATATAGAATTTTAGACACTTTTAAGATATTCACAGTTGCCTTCCCTTTTTGGGAACGTTTCTATCAAGTACATCCTGCGATAGTCTGACAGGTGGGAGACGTTTGATTGGAAGGGTTCAAGCCCTATTCTGGGAGATACCCTGTATCTCTCTTTTCTCTCCCTTGTACTGACAGTATTGTCTACATAATTTAGAAACTGCTCTTTGCTACTGTTCCGTTACGAGTTTTCATTCACAACTCCAACAACCTCCCCATTTTCACTTGAGCTGCACTTCTAACTGGAGAGCAGGTTGGGGGTGAAACTGGTGTCAGCGCTGCGCTCTTCTGATGCAGGGGGCAAGGAGAGAGGTGTACTCACAAACACAGCCCCCTTCAGCATGTCTGGCACCACCATTGGCACGAAGCCCTGGAAGAGAGGAAAAGGGTCTTCATTTCGCATATTTTCTGTAATGGGTGTTTAAAAATGAAAAAAGCCTAAAGTATGTCTGTGTGTGTGTGCCTCTTGTTCTGTTGACTCTGAGGGGCTAGTGTCTTGCTCTGTTGAGTCTATGGGAATAGTCTGTTGCCTGTTGCTCCTTGGACTCTCTATGAATAGTC